CTTGCCACGAGGTGAAACGTTCCTCTCGGCTCCAATTTCGACCTAAATGTGTTGCCCACTGTTTCACAAAAACACGCCCCTGGGACCAGGGTCCCAGGTAGTAAACAGCCTGAGTGCTGCTGATAATTATTCACAACAGCTGACAGTGAGCAAGTTCGTCCAGAGTTTATGTTGGGAGCCCGAGGACCTCCGAGCGGGATGTCACCCAGAAAGATGGTCTCGTCTAATCGCCACGTGATACCGGGACTTGTCCTGACATCTCTCGCAGTGACGGGAAACTTACTGCCTCTGACACCGTCCGTTCTATTTCTGGACAGTAAGTCAAAAGCTCAAAGCAATGAAGTGAAACCTCATTAAAAAAAAATTAAAAGTGGGGTTTACTTAAGTCACCTTTTAAAAGCTTAGTATCTCCTAATATCCATAGCCTCGAGAGGATCCCATGCTAAATATATACTGGAATATCCGTATAGTTCACCAAAAAAACCCCCCAAAAATCAAAACTGTATAAAACAAACACAGGGCCCAGATCTGCTATAAAATCCAGACTCCCTCATACAAATCACTGTGAGAAGCCCAGCAAGGAACAATCTCTCTTAGCTTCCCTCTGCTCCCTGCAACGGGGAAATGCCCACCCCTGGGGGTCAGCAAAAAAATCGAAACCCACCTGAAGCACACGGTCCGCAGCCTAATGCATATTAAGCTCTCAAAAATGGGCCCTTACTTTTACCTGCAAAACCCTTGCTATTCATTTTGAGACGCTGCATATCCACAAAGCACGACAGAAGAATCGCCGGCTGGCACCTGCACACGAAATAACTTTTCGTGGCCCCTTAAATAGACTCCCCAACGGCTCAGTGTCAAGACAGAGCTCCCAGGGAAAGGTGCTCTCGGCGGCTGCTTCTATTATAACTCGGGAGTTTTGTTTAACACTCTGCATTAATGAGGGAGCTTCTTAGGATAATATTACAACAGAGAGTGCACGAAATACCAGGGAGGTCAGCTCCGTTCTATTAACTGTCATCTAACACAGAAATATTTTCCTTGAATACCATTAAAGCTTCCTTTGTTCTGCTTTTTGAAGGCAGGGAGAACCCAAATTTCCCCGCCGATAATTCCTGTTTTCGACTTGGCAACATAATGCTGTTCGGCTTCAGGAAGAAAAGAAAAGAAAACTCACCTTGGCAATGTCTTCTTCAGGGGTTTTTACAAAAGATATTTTGTCAGGACGTGTTTTTTTAAGCAGGTCCTTTAAGTAAGCCAAAACATAGCTGCTTGCCACTAAGTGACCTGAGTCGCTTTATATATATTTTTTTTAAAGAGGCCCTACCTGGGAAACGCTACACCCTTTAAATGAACATTTTATGAAAATGGGAGCTGTGCAACAGAAGGGTAATTAGACGGGGAAGCTGCTCTTCGCTGCTCCTGCTGATACGGTGAACCCAGAGGACGCGGAGTCCCTGCTGCCACATATAAATCAAGACGCGAGCTGTGGATGCAGCAAAAACAGTTCTGGGATCATTTTTCTTCCCATCCTGGGGGCTTGCGACAACTGATTGGAGAGATGTCACCGCAGCTAAATGAAGAAATCTGTGCTGTCTCTTGTACCAACGCTCCTCCGCTTACGACAGGGTTTGGGTCCTGACAAACCCATGGGAAGCGGAGAACATCATTCGGGGAAACGTTTTCAACGCGTCTAACCTACTGAGCATCGGGGCCCAGCCCGGCCCGCCTCAGACACGCCCAGGACGCTTCCATTAACCCGCGCCGGGCAGAGCCATCAAACACTGGCTACGCTGCAGGGTGGCCCGGCTGGCCCTGGCGGCCGATCGAGGGCCCGACCAGGAGACGGGCGCATCACTACCACCCAGCACCACGAGAAAGCGTCAAACTGCCTATCGCTCGCTCGGGAGAAGATCAAAACCCAAAATCCGAAGCACAGCTTCTCTCGAGCGTGTATCATCGCTGCATCACGGCAAAGTCGAAAAATATCCTGCCAGGGCCCGAGTCTAGGTCCACCTGGCCTTACAGCTCGACCCGCCCTGCGTCCGGCAGCCACAGCTCGTGCAGACGCCGCCTTCGCTCCGAGCCAGGCGCCGGGGAGCGCTGAACCCACAGTAGCTTTTTATTGTTATTTTTAANACATTCACTCCGAGCCAGGCGCCGGGGAGCGCTGAACCCACAGTAGCTTTTTATTATTGTTATTTTTTTAAATAGATCTTCATTGATGTCAGAGAGAAGAAAGGAGAGGGACAGAGAGAGGGGAACATCAATGATGAGAGTCATGGATCGGCTGCCTCCTGCACGCCCCCGATGGGGGATCGAGCCCACAACCCGGGCCTGTGCCCTGACCGGGAATCGAACCCNGCCTTCGCTCCGAGCCAGGCGCCGGGGAGCGCTGAACCCACAGTAGCTTTTTATTGTTATTTTTAAAATAGATCTTTATTGATGTCAGAGAGAAGAAAGGAGAGGGACAGAGAGAGGGAAACATCAATGATGAGAGTCACTGATCAGCTGCCTCCTGCACGCGCCCGACGGGGGATCGAGCCCGCAACCCGGGCCTGTGCCCTGACCGGGAATCGAACCCCGATCGCCTGGATCCTAGGTCGACGCTCAACCGCTGAGCCACGCCCGGCCAGGCTACGGTATCTTTTTAGATACTCACACTTTATTTGCCAACACTATTATTGCCACCATCCTTTTACTGACGATGACGCTAAAGATTAGAAACGTTAAGGAACCATTTTTTTTTTTTTAAGGCAAAGGATAAAGGCCTACTTTTGGGGGCATGAAATAACTACATTAGCCCCCCATACGTGGGCACGGAGGGATATGATATTGTGCAGAGACGTGGGTGTCTCGCTCTCGTTTGCAAGAGTCAAAAAATAACAAAAATAACCGAGTTGCCGAGGTGAAACCCATCATAGCAATAAACAGCCATAAGCCCTCCATCCTCTGATGGGTGAATTCTACACCTAAATAAAATAATTATTGCTTTCATAAAATGTCTCTGTTTGCCACTGACAGAGAGAAAACTGAACCCGTAGGCCCTGCAACTGCCTTTAAATAACCAAGGAGAAAAAATCAAAATAAAAATAAATCTTGACCAGATTTATAGGGGCGGCTTGATGAGGTCTTGCTTTTTCCCCTCAAATCAACAATACCTGCAAAAAATGAAAGGTGCATGTGGAGACCAGATATCTTGTGACAGATGGGTTCTCTGCGACCTACAGTACAGGATGATGCCGGAAAAATGATGCTGGCCCATCATTCGTGACGCTTACGAGCAAAGCAGAGCCCAGCGTAACCACTCGGATTTGAAGAAACGATCATTTTTTAAGTGCACTTCTTGAAGTTTTTGTTTTATTGTGGACTTGTGCTGTTTCTCCACACGACTGTTTCATTGCTCCAACTTGGTAACCATTCTTTGACTCAAAAATTCTGACCTTAAAATCAAATGTCATTCGTTCAGATACTGACTCATGAGAAGGCGCATCCGACAAGAATTTAATTATACACAAGGTGATGCAACTGGCACTGGTCGCCCGCTAAGCCATCGCTTCCCTTTGGCACCCCACGTCGTTAGCGGAAATGGCGACGGGCAGAACTGAGGGTTATTATTGTTAAAAGAGTGAAAGTCTCAGTTTTCTATTAACCACCCTTCGCATAAAAACTTCATTTCCCTCAGGCACCGCTTTAGCTAAGATGCTTTTGGCTACTGGAAAAAAAAAAAAAAAAATACCTGTTCAAGGAAAGAAGGCCCCCATCTGAGCTGTTGAAATCTGATTTCATTTCAGGTTCGAAAACGAATGTTGTTTTTTTGTTTAAATAGATTTTGTCTGTCGATCTCCAGACCCGCTGCGCCATCCGCCTGTATGGACCGCTGTGGTCAACACCGGGGTTGTAGCAGCAGATTTTATTACGGGCTGGTAATTGAATTGAACAGGTTTACATTTGAATAGATTTACTACCTCATGATCTCTGACATACTGCGTGGGACTGAACTCCCTCTCCATCCATAAAGATACGTTTAAGACGCACCGTTCCCTCCGGGCTGGGAAGGCGAGTCTTGAGCCAAGGAGATGGCCACTCGTAATTGCGCATTTATATGCGGGGCGCGATGCTGTATTTCAGAGTTGTTGTTTTTTTCAAGTACAAAAGAAAAAGAACATTCCATATTTACTCATATCCACTCCACCCTTTCTCTTTGGGGAAAGGGCCCTAGAGAACCGGTATTTGCCCATGGAAGTGGGCACCAGGGGTAGAGGAAAATTAGTTACTATATGGGTATATCAGCCACAGCCGCAATTTCCCTGAAAACAGCCCCCCTAAAGGCTAGACGGCAGCATCTGAAGAGGTGTGACTAGCAGATAAGCGCGGGGCCCATTCCCTTTCACCAACCATGTTTCATTAAACACAGTTCACAGCTCCTCCGTAGCTCTGAACCCCCTTCACCGGGGCTCCTGCCTGAAAGCCGCAGAGGGGAAAATACCGTTTTTCTACCTCCTCCTTACACCTCGACGGGCACACGGTCGCGAAAATGACGGCGGTAAAACCACACCGCTCAAAAAAATCTCTCTCTGGAAGTGGAGGCGTATCCCAGTGTACTCCAGATTTTGAAAATAAAATAGAAATCAATTCAAAAGCTGTTTAATTAATACACGGCTTTTATAAACTTTTTAAAAATCGACTTGCTTTTTTGAAAAGGCGGCTTATTTCTCAACGCCTGCCTTCTGGAAACGACAAGGGTAAGGAGTTCCAGAATCACCCCAACGTACCTGCTGGGTCGCGCCGCCCGTCACAGGCGCCCCACCTTGTCCCGTCGACGTCAGCAGCCAGCCGCGGGGTATCGGGAAGGTCAGATAGGGAAGGAGCATCCTGCCCTCGGATTCGGGGTCCTCACTGTGACCCCCTTTTTCCTGGTTTCCCTAACACTGTTGCAAATCGCTTGTGCACCCCCTCCCTTCCCCACCTGAAGCCCAGGGTGCCGGCAAGGGCCTTACCTTCCTTCAGCATGCCCACTTTCAAACACTTCATGAAGCGGCAAGCCTGGCAGGATTTACGTCGACGCTTTGTGATTTCACATTCATTCGTAGCCGGACAGCTGTACTCTATGTTACCTGGAACACAGGGTGGTGAGAACGGGAGCTGTTAGATGGGCAAGACCAGGAAAGCTACCATGCCCAAAGCAATGGATGATCCCTGCCCCTTCCCGCAAAAAAAATAAAAGCCCATTGCCCTCATGAGGATGTGACAAGTGTCATGCAGCTGGATGCTCTGTGACAACCCCTGGAGACGCATTGAACAAGGGGAAGATATCTGGTGAAGGTCTTCAAAAAATTCCCTTTAAAATCAGCCTTTAAATCACGATGCTCAGTTCACCTGGGCCACGGTCCAGTCTCCCAGGATCTTAGGCTCCAAAAGAAATTTCAACGCAGATTATTTCCATAAAACCACAAACATCAAAACTGTTTTTTTGTATTATCAAGCCTGGCTTCCCTTCTTTTTTTAAATTAAAAATGTTTAATGTTGACATAACTGCAGGTGTCTCCCCTTTCTTGCCCTTTGCCCATCTCCATCCATTCCTGCTTCCCCTCCCTTGGCCTAAAAAAAAAAAAAAAAGTCCTACAGAAGGGTGCTGAAAGTCCATTTTATAGATGAGAAAGCTGAGGCTTAGAGAAGTAAAGGACCAAAGAATGGAATCGTTGCCCCCAGGACTCTGGTGGGGAGACAGAACACATGCTCTTAGAGAAATCACAGTCTGATGGAGGAGGGATATGCCCTGTCTTAGGGAGCCCCAAATCCAATGAGGGAGATATAGCTTTATCCTGGGAGTATCCCATAGGATGAGGGGTATGAAGCTCTGCCCAGTGGGAGTCCTCCA